GCGGGAAGAAAGCATTGTTCGAGTCAATACTGCTGTCTCCCAGTTAATGTCAGTCAGGGGAAGACCAGTGACAAACAACTGAGTCACAGCCTACGTCACCGGACAGCACTAGCAGGCACACATTCCCCATGTCATGCTGCCCAAGAGGACATGGCCTTGTAGTCCCACGTTTCCAGGGTTAAATATAAATTGTCAATGCAAGAAAATAACCAGTCTAGATTTTCTGCCGAAACAGATTCCAGATTTGGCGTAAAGGGCAAATAGTTGTGGAAATTTTTTGAATGGACCACTGAAAATCAGTGATGACACCAAAAAGTTCGCAAAAAGATTAAGTATATCCTGCCCTAACGGTAGCACCCGCCATTCATTCAATTTGCATAAAACGTACTACTGCTGCCTGCTGCTACTGCTGCTGCTACTACTACTACTACTACTACTACTTCTACTACTACTACTACTACTACTGCTACTGCTGCTGCTGTCACTACTGCTACTACTACTACTACTACTACTGCTACTGCTGCTACTGCTACTGCTGCTACTACTACCGCTGCTACTACTACTACTACCACTACTACTACTACTACTACTGCTACTGCTACTACCACTACTACTGACCCGTGAAGTTTCCGGGGTAGAATAGGTCTTCAGCAACCCTTGCTTGCCGTAAAAGGTGACTATGCTTGTCGTAAAAGGCGACTAATGGGATCGGGTGGTCAGGCTCGCTGACTTGGTTGATGCATGTCATCGATCCCAATTGCGTGGATCGATGTTCATGATGTCAATCACTGGATTGTCTGGTCCAGACTCGATTATTTATAGACCGCCGTCATGTAGCTGGAATATTACTGAGTGCGGCGTTAAATAACAAACCAACCAATACTACTGCTACTACGACTGCTGCTGCTGCTGCTGCTGCTGCCTGCTGCTACTGCTGCTACTACTTCCGCTGCTACTACTACTACTACTACTGCTGCAGCTACTACTACTACTACTACTACTACTACTGCTGCTACAGCTGCTGCTATTACCACTACTGCTACTACTTCTACTACTGCTGCTGATGCTGCTACTACTTCTACTACTGCGACTACTACTACTACCCTCTAACAGGTCAGTACATTGCCATAATAGAATCGACAGGCATGCCAGAACAATAACACCAACTATACACTGCCATGAGAGTGTCATATAAACACGTTGTACATATCATCGATGTATCTATGGCAGTGCTAGCAACGATAAACCCGTTTCAAATATCGAGTTCTTGTCAACACCCTTATTCTTCAGCGAAATTGTTGATTTCCAAATTTGGGGATGCAGTATTTGTTCTGCAGTCATTCAATCGGCATTCGCATACACCACAATCCTGTTAGTCATGTTTGGCTTATCCAATACCGGGGACTATTCTTACCCTTCTTAAACTAGGCCTTGGTCATGCGTGGTTGGGGCAATGTGTGGAATGGTCGTGTCACTTGTTCAACTGAGGTGTAATCTTTGTTTGTTTGTTTGTTTAACTCCGCACCCAGCAATATTCCATCAATATGACGGCGGTCTGTAAATAATCGAGTCTGGACCACACAACCCAGTGATTGACATCATGATCATCGACCTACGTAAAAAACTAGAACATCACAGATAGAAGTTTAAAACAAGTATATAACCCAAAATTATGACTATTCATAACAAGACAATATATCAAATTGGGATATATATCACTAGCAACTACAGTGAGGAATGGGCTATATATCACTAGCAACTACAGTGAGGCATGGGCTATATATCACTAGCAACTACAGTGAGGCATGGGCTATATATCACTAGCAACTACAGTGAGGCATGGGCTATATATCACTAGCAACTACAGTGAGGCATGGGCTATATATCACTAGCAACTACAGTGAGGCATGGGCTATATATCACTAGCAACTACAGTGAGGCATGGGCTATATATCACTAGCAACTAACGTGGGGCAACCATACTGGGGACCATAGGGACTTACAGTATCTTTGCTTCCTGCATGGACCCCAGCAGGATCGACGCCATCCTTTAAGCCACTGGTGATTATGGAGAAGGTTTAGCCAAAGATTTAAAACCAAACAAATACAGTAAACTACGGTTATAACGAACTCAAAGGGACCACTAATTTTAGTTCGTAATAACCGTAGTTCGTTATAAGCATATAAACAGCATATATACACCAAATGGCCGGGACCAAAAAGTAAGTTCGTAATATCCGTCAGTTCGTTATAAGCGTGTTCGTTATAAACGTAGTTTACTGTATTCTACAATTAAAACACTGGTAGACATAAAATACTTTGAATGACGTGGGCAGGCGTGTAGAATGTGTGAATTTAACAATATGGAAGATGAAATCCATATCATACTTGTACAATGTTTGCTCATACTATAGTAATCTAAAAACTCGTTTCATTTCTGCCAAATATACATGTCCAACATTTCAAAGTTTTAATAAAGCATCGCAACTTTTGTACATCAGGCATTGTCAATAAGAAAGTATCATCTACTGTAACCAGTATCCATTGAGCTACGCCCCTTCGAAACAAGACATATTGTGGCATCAAATTCTAAGTATCGTGCTACTACTTGAGCATTCCACTTAAACAGACCGCCTCCGTGGTCTAGTGGTAGAGCGTTCGCCCAGAGAGCGGAAGGTCGGGGTTCGATCCCCGATCGCATCATACCAAAGACGTTAAAAGATGGTACTTGTTGTTGCCCTGTCTGGCGCTCGACATTAAGGGGCTAAACCAAGGACTGGTCGGCTCGGAGTCAGTATACCGGGTCTGAGTGGGGTATCTATGTCAAACTGAGACATGGTATCTCAGTGGGCTAGCACTATAACATCGGCATCAGTCCAGACTAGTACAAGCACCACAAACACATGCAATGAGTGTAATAATCGTTTTCGCGACGTTCAACTCCATTTCACCTCACCTTTAAATAATCGCTAAAAATATATATGTGTACAGATAAACTCGGCTGTCGGCGATTGCTCAGACAAACAGATTACTTCACCAAATATCAGCGATAAAGTATATCATATATTCCGGAGCATGAACGCAAGGGTAATCAATCAACTCGTGTGACGATGTTGTGGATGTAAGGTTAATGTCAGCCATGTGGTCCACGCACTTTGTGTGTGTCTTTGAAATGTCTCGGGAAAATGCCATCCCCCATGCTTTGGAATTGGTCACACAATATCCTTATAAAGACTGCTGAGGTTGCACTTCTAATCATGATTATGTGTTTAATCATATATGTATATATTTACAACATGAGAGGTTATGCAGGGAAAGCTGGATTTTTGTGCTATTTGGTTCTCATTAGCTGTGAGTATATTAATAGCACCAACATATCTCAATCTCAGTACACGGTTTCATAGTTGATGTTCGCTTCCTCGAAATCCTGAAAAACTATAATACGTACTCAGGATATCAGCCTGGAACTGTAATACGTACTCAAGATATCACCCTGCAACTGTAATACGTACTCAAGATATCAACCTGCAATTGTAATACGTACTCAAGATATCAGCATGGAACTGTAATACGTACTCAAGATATCACCCTGGAACTGTAATACGCACTAATGATATCACCCTGGAACTGCAATACGCACTCAAGATATCAGCCCGCAACTGTAATACGTACTCAAGATATCACCCTGCAACTGTAATACGCACTCAAGATATCACCCTGCAACTGTTATACGTACTCAAGGTATCACCCTGCAACTGTAATATGTACTCAGTATATATCAACCTGCAACTGTAATATGTACTCAAGATATCACCATGCAACTGTAATACGTACTCAATATATCACCCTGGAACTGCAATACGTACTCAAGATATCACACTGTAACTGTAATACGTACTCAATATATCACCCTGGAACTGTAATATGTACTCAAGATATGACCATGCAACTGTAATACAAGTACACGATATCTCACTCCATTGTACGTGGAAGATTGTAGATTCCCCTCGCAACAGATAACATAATTTACAAGGCTAAATAAGTTGGTGTACTGCCATTATTCTCTTAACACTACATCTGTGATGCCCTGGTGGGGCTCAATCCGACGTCACTAGTGCTACATGATTACATGTAATTACCCCAGCTCCGGCAAGAAATCAGTTTTAAGACGCAGTTATATTCTAGCAATACGGCGACATGTACATAACCGGTTCCAGATTTGGCAAACCAGTGGCTGATAGCATGAACAACGATCCCAGCTGTCATACAATCAGCCAGCTCAGACACCGTAACCGCGCCATCATCATCATCAGCAGCAGCAGCAAACTCCACAACAACATCCGATACTGGGGCCTATCGAACAAGACTCCAGCAAGGACTCAAGTATGTTCTGCACTTACAATATAATATTCGAAAATACATCAACAATAGTGAGTGAGTGAGGAAGTTGGCTTAACGCCGCTTTTAACAGTATTCCAGTTAAATCACGGCATGTCAGCTTAACGTGGGAGGAAAGCCCTAAGTCATGCAGGTCTCAGACGTTGACTATTTCAGTGAAACCCACGAGTACGGGTAGGGTGCTGACAAACCTAGAATCATGATAGGGGCGAACCGGGATTCGAAACACAATCATAAGTTCCGACGTTCCCAGGGGACGCAACTCTGCACAACATCAACAATAACAAACAGGTCCTTCGGGCAATATTAATAGATATACAGTAGAACATGGATATAACGAACTACAAGGGACCGGAGAAATCAGTTTGTTCGTTATATACGTTTTCGCTCGGAAACATCCACCAGCTTGGCTAAAGCAAAACACAACACGTTTGTTCGCTCTATCCGTGTTCGTTATATTCGTGTTCTACTGTACAATCTCAACAAATTCGTGCTAAATCTCATCCATGGAGATAGAGCACATGGGGATTTCTAATTTTCCAAAAACGTTTAACTCAAACAGTACCCCTGCAGCCTCTGGGCTCCAGTTCTTTGGATCTTACCTGCAAGGACATGTCGCCAGGTGAACATGACAGCCCACCCGGTGACGCTGCAGCGAACATGGTTTGACGTTGACGTTGTTTCTGTCAAAGGTGAAGGTCAAGCCTCGAATAAGCACATCCAATATGGACCACAACCTGCGACCTCCGGACCTCTTTTGTACCTCTTCTCTTGGTCCATTGCACACGTTTTCTTGGGCGTATTTGTTTGACGTGGTGGGTCTGTTTGACCTGATGTGTTTGATTGTAACAGTTTCCCTCCCGAGAACAAACGGCCTCGTCACTTAGTATCTAATCCATACAGTTTGATTATTTTGTGTTCCGATGTCAATGCGCTGTATTATTCCTGCTCAGATACAATCTGCAGGATGCTAATGCAGCATCACTGTTGAAAGTTAGCTTTAAGTAATATAAGCACATATAAAACAGACTCCTTGCCCGGTTTACTCTACACACTCAACTCTTGTTTTATGGCCATTGAAATCCGTCCGCTCTACAACATCAAACACTTCACTACTATTGGAACTGACCTCTGACCTCAGATTCCACCGCTGCCACCAATATGACCTATGCGCCAAGGTCACCGTCTTCTTTCAAGTTTGGTATCCGATGACGGTTTGCTGAGTACCGTGTAATTGCTCCTTCATTGTGGCTATCCGTCACCACAACAGACGGCCAGACAGGCAGAACCAACAGCTATCCGTCAGTGCTTCGTGACAGACACTCGGAAGACATATAGCAGTTACCACACAGACCCCACAACACCATCTGCACAAGGACTTACCCAGCGTGGCAGCGAACAGCAATAAACAAAATCCCCAAAGCGTTTATGCACATACAATGGATCGCTTGTTGCAGACACTAACGATTAATGAAGTATTCCATTCAAATTCAACCACTTAGTTTTTATGTATACAAACATCCATGTGGTAGGAGCCTCGCTGCGCTTGTCAGTCGCTGGCTGCATTCAACACGTGCTCGTCATGAGCAGCGAATTTATCTAATATGTGTCGATCTCTGCAAGGTGCCATTGCTCGCATGCTGCCAGCGAGATGTCTCCTTTTCCAGATGGTATGCGGCCACGTGACCACTTGACTGCGATCTCCACACAGGTAGAGTCAGGTAGAACGTGGATGGCTGTAAAAGAGGAATAGTATTTAGCCGGTAGTGAGATGTGATATCACCTCTGCAAACTGAGGCGACTCTCTGTGTCTCCAGGAGCAGCAACACTAGCGGGGAATTATAAGCCTCACCTGGGCAAAATATTATAGTATCCTGTTACGGTAATACTATCTTAGACACGGGGTCTCTGCAGACAGATAGATATTCTTGTTTGACGTGTGCAGGGAGGGCTGAGTGAACATGGCCGTTGAGGATATGGTGGATTGAGGACTTGGTGCAATGAGGACATGGTGCAATGAGGACATGGTACATTGAGGACATGGTGCAATGAGGACGTGGTACATTGAGGACATGGTGCAATGAGGACATGGTACAATGAGGACATTGTACAATGAGGACGTGGGCAATGAGGACATGGTGCAATGAGGACATGGTGGAATGATGACATGTGCAATGAGGACATAGTACAATGAGGACATGGTACAATGAGGACATGGTACAATGAGGACGTGGGCAATGAGGACATGGTACATTGAGGACGTGGGAAATGAGGACATGGTACATTGAGGACATGGTACAATGAGGACATGGTGCAAGGAGGACATGGTGCAAGGAGGACATGGTACAATGAGGCCATGGCACATTGAGGACATGGTGCAAGGAGGACATGTGAGGACAAAGATGTCGAGCATGCGTCACAATAGACTCAGGGTTAATGTTGTATTCTACAGCTCCCATCTGATTATTTAAATAGACCATGCTGCTAAATGTGACAGGATAAAATCTGCATCGCAAGGCATGTCAGTAGTGTTTTTATCACATGAGATACAAGATTTTAATTTTGGACGATAAGTGAATTAGAGTTTTCGCCGCTGTTTTTAAGCCATATTCGGCGAGACAAGCGAACACTTTACCCACGACATTAACCTACACTAGTAGTGTTGGGTCAGTATAAGGCAAGACAATGTAAACAGCAGTAAGACAAGTAAACATCAGTAGTAAGACGAGTTCTATGGATGAACAACTTCTTTATTACACTGATTCCACTGGCTTCCAATTGCACTAATTGCACTGGCACTAATTGTAATAAAGAAGTTGTTCATCCATAGCACTAATTGTAATAAAGAAGTTGTTCATCCATAGCACTAATTGTAATAAAGAAGTTGTTCATCCATAGAACTCGTCTTACTTCTAAATGCCACTGAAAGAAGTTAAACATCAGTAGTGCGTAAATGCTGATAAGTATTTTATACAGCAATAGACAGGTTACTAAGGACCAGTATAGGGGTTACGCTGTGTGATAATACAGGTTAATATTGAAAACAGTGTTTAAAGCATCGTCTTGAAGAAATTGATCTAAATACCTCACCTCACACGGGATGGTGATTACAGTCCCTGAAACCTAAAACAAGCACAGCACAGCAGGGTACGGCACGGCACGGCACAACACAGCACAGCACAGCACAGCACAGCACAGCACAGTAGGCCTGTACAGGCAACAGGCAGTACCTTGAATAGAGCTGTGTTCAACGATGTAGTATATTTTTGTTTAACCACCCAAAGACGAGTTATAAGGCCGAGACATGAACAGAGCGTGATGTACGGCAGGCTTAGTTTAATTCACTTACAGGACAGGCTAGTGTTAGAGCATACCCCTGTGGGCGGGACGCTTAACTGCCCTGCCGCGCCCCAGAGGCCACACATCCCGGGGGTCCGCCTCCCCCATCCCGACCCATGCTGAACCTCTCCCCTGGGAGAGAATCTCATAAAATATCATTATACAATTGATGCTTACTATCTCACCAACGACACGAAAAAATATATATTTCAATCCTCTGTTATAGTGATTACATGTCGCCCTTGTTCATCTCATTTTAGGTGTCACTGGGGGCCAGACGTCTAAGGTGACGCAATTTGCTGTGCAGGGTTGCGTCTCTAAAGCGTGCCCAAAACCTATGATTGTGGGTTCGAATCCCGATCCGTCCTCATTATGTTTCTAGTTTTGTAAGCACCACACCCGCGCTCATGGGTTTCATCAAAGTGGTCTGAGATTTGCATCCCTTCGGACTTTCCTCCCACATCAAGCTGACACGCCGTGATGTAACTTCATTACTGTTCAACGTGGCGTTAGACAGATCTCATTCCGTAATATATTTGTAATGGGGGTCTTTAATGGGTTTGGTCAATTGGCAGTCTCCCGCTTGTAGTATAGTCCCTCTTATACAATAAAAATGTTATATATAAATTCCACGTCTACATCACTATTAGAGTATAGTCCCTCTTATACAATACAAATGTTATATGTAAATTCCACGTCTACATCACTATTAGAGTATAGTCCCTCTTATACAATAAAAATGTTATATATAAATTCCACGTCTACATCACTATGAGTGCTTCAAGAAGCCAGTTCTCCAGCAACTTCATGGAAGAATTACTTTCATTTAAATATATAAATGATTGAATGATCGCTATTTATTTTTAGTTTTATTTCGACCGACCTTGCGAAAAGCTGAAAGATATCCGAGAAACATAAAATTAAATAATAGGGCCCTACTGACAGGGAGTCTAGTAGAAAATCTTTTGCAGAATGTTGTTTTCGCCATGTGCCTGGTATATACTTCACGGATATAATTGTAATAGTCTGAGATGTCTGGGTTTTGAAACGTAGCCAGTTTCATACACACTGATGTCTTTCTGTTCTTAAAGTCTCAAGATGTTTGTGGCGCTGTTGCGCAGAGGTCGAAGGCTGGGAAGCAATTAGGAGTAACTAACTCCGAGCTTCATATTCATATCCTTCTGATACTGTAGATCCTCAAACAGGAAGCGCGGATACCCTGCGGGGAGCTTACAGCAAAGTTGGGTATCTCGAGATTTTGAACCGTATTTCAGTTATATGACGGCTTCATAGACAGGTCTAAGATGACTCAGGTCTTAGACATTTGCCACATTGATGAAGCCAATTGGAGCCGCCAGGGGTAAAATAATGAGGGTCAATGTGGGATTTGAACCCGGAATAAGCGGATCCTGACGCTTTACCAGCAACCAGAAGTGGGAATGCTGCAAACTGCATTTATATCCATCGTCATGTACTCGTTCGACACAAATGCGTTGTTTGTGTGCTGCTTCGGGAACGCCTTGGTAAACGTGTTTAATGCAATTTCACGAATATCCACGTGCTTGCTTAATGAAATTGAGATTTGTCAGATATAAACAAATTTACAGTAATTACTCGTAATGTAATAGAACTATCGCGTCATCTGCCTTGGATTGACGGCTCGGTAAAGGTTAAATGTCAGTCGACCCTAACGTCTGTCTGTCACGGGGAAGGATACATGTTTACATGTGTGATGAGGCTGCAAGTACTACTCCGCCGTCCAGAGAGGATGATATAAACAGCTGCCAGACATTAACGAGGAAGAGGATACGGGGATGAGGGATTCCTTCATCTAATAATTAGCAAGGTGCTTGTCTCAGGGCCTATTTTCACAATGACATATGTAGTATTTCATGATATAGCAATGTTGGTCATATTCCGAACCTCCAGTTTCCGTGTCACCCTGGATGTCGTGTAACCTGACTAAGGTACGGGGCATCTGCACATTTACTTGGCCCTAATCGTCAGGTCTACCGAGACTCAATCCTGAGTCTTCTCCATTCAAGACTTCTCCGATGTCTCGTGACACAATAGCGCGAATCAGCAGACCTCATTTCAGCTTTTGCTTATTCAGTGAGTGACGAGGGGTTTAACGTCGCGTTCAAGATTACTGCACTTATATCGCGACGTGTATGTACGCGTGTGTGTGTGTGTGTGCGTGCGCGCGCGCGTGTGTATGTGTGTGTGTGTTGTGCGTGCGATCGTGCGTGCGTGCGTGCGTATATGTGTGCTTGCACTGATACGGACTAATACCGATTTTATAGTGTAGCCCACTGAGATACCAATCGCCAAATATATAAGAGGGCGGCTACGACGCAACTGTGTATTAAAAAATTTCGTTATCATCACAGAGAAAATAAGCGATGATTATGTTATGTGAAGAAATCGAACACATTAAACATTAGTTGATGTGTTGATTTTTGTACTGAAAATAGTAGTCATATAATCTGTATATATGTAATATAATTAAATATAACTTTTTCTGTCGTCCTTGATATTTCATAGTTATTCTTATTCATCGTTTATATAAAGTTACAATAATTAATTTTAAAAAGCAAATTAAAATCACTGTCTTTACCAGACATTTGAGTCTCACAAAAACACTAAAGTGTTTTTGTCTTAACATTGATATCGACTGGACGCTTTAATGAGAAAGTAATGCATGTTTGGGGAGCTATTACTGTTATGTATAGCAAGGGAGAATGTCTCGGAAGTGTATGAGCTCTACTATAGACACTGGACGGATCCACACGTTCTTCCGGGGCGGTCGGGTAGCCTAGTGGTTAAAGCGTTCGCTCGTCACGCCGAAGACCCGGGTTCAATTCCCGACATTGGTACAATGTGTGAAGCCCATTTCTGGTGTCCCCCGCCGTGATATTGCTGGAATATTGCTAAAAGCGGCGTAAAATCAAACTCACTCACACGCACTCACACGTTCTTCCGCAGAATACGAATGTTCTAATTCGGCAGCACGTGTTCTATTGCTGAACGCCTGTGATCTGTTGTAGAACGCGTGTGTTTTTCCTGGGAGAAGACCATTCATGTGAGCAGAGTTAGATAAATTAAAATTCGACCATATATTTGTTTTTTTTCGGAATATTTATGGGGAGAAGAAGAGATCTCGAGGCTGATAGATTGGTAAGTCAAGCAGAATATGTGCATTAGAAGGGTGATATTTTGAGTTTGAATAATTAATAGTTATTAAACACGGCATACTCTGTTTTAATAACTCGTACGTTAGTTGGTTGTTGGTTGACTAATATCATGAGCATCGATCCACGCAATTGGGATCGATGACATGCATCAACCAAGTCAGCGAGCCTGACCACCCGATCCCGTTAGTCGCCTCTTACGACAAGCATAGTCGCCTTTTACGGCAAGCATGGGCTGCTGAAGTCCTGTAATACATTGAAATAGCTTGCCTGTATTATGTGACATTTACATGCATCGGGACACTGACATTCTGCTATTTCTTCCCGGAACCAGTGTGTGCGCTGTGGAACATATACGGTCTATTTGCTGAACACATGCGTTTTCTCACGGCGTTTTGCAGTGTTCTATTATAACTGTAAAATGATACGCAGCACACTTACATTTTATAACCGAGAACACGTGTTCCATTACTAGAACATTGGCGTTCTGTTTTTCTAACAAGCACCCAAAGCCGCCCCTGTGAACCACATCCGTTATGTGAGAAAACTGGCGTGACGTCACATTTATTTGGCGCTGCAATTACTATCATGTAAGGGGTGTCTGTGGTAAGAATCCATCTATATAGGAATACTTTCGTTTTATATTTATTCCTAACCTAAAAAGACCTGTGAAGATCCGGGGTAGAATAGGACTTCAGCAACCCATGCTTGCCGTAAAAGACGACTATGCTTGTCGTAAGAAGCGACTAACGGGTTCGGGTGGTCAGGCTCGCTGATTTGGTTGATACATGTCATCGTATCCCATTTGCCTGGCTCGTTGCTCATGATGTCAATCACGGGATTGTCTGGTCCAGACTGGATTATTTTACAGACCGCCGTAATATAGTAATAATATAACAAACAAACAAACAAACTTATGACTTTTGTAGACGTACGGTAATTTTGGTTAATATCGCTTTGTGCAACCAGGCCTCCTGTTTCTAGGTTCTCTCCGTTAACCAGGTCACCTGACCATCTCAAATATATAGTCTTCAAGTCTGACCACCCGATCCAACAATACGACTAATGGCGGACCTGAATATTCAGGCTACATAGCTATTCACATCACGCTCCTAGTGCCTGAATAAGATTGTCTTGTGTCACAACACACTGCGTGTATTAAACGTACCAAGAAACAAACCGTACGTTCATTTGTGCCACATGGAGCTCCGTCTCCAATTTCAAATATAAGCGCAAAGCAAGCAGAGCGTATCATATGCACAACCAGTCAAACCCATTCTTGCATCGCTCCAGGGTCGATCTGGTCAAGAAATACTCTGTCATCACTGCAGGCGGTCGGTTCCGCCGCGTGCAACAAAATAAAAGCTGGATACTGCCCTCTTCATTACTTGCGTGTAGACGGATCTACCGGACCCCACATGCCCCGTGCTGGTGGGTAGGGTTGCCAATCAGCTTCTCGCCATTGCGATTTACTTATCATTAACGGGTCCATATACAGGAGCATGATGTGGAATCGGGAATAGACACATGTTTCGTCTCTGCAACTACATAGTTTTAAAAGAAACAAGCAACTACATGTAAACTGAAAAGGAGCCTCGGTGAAATAGGAGATTCTCGTACCTATGGAAAATCTAGACTTGCTTTATTTAGCTCAAAGGCAATTGATAAAAGGCTGAGGAAAATAATATGGTTCAGGGACTGTAAGACAGGCTAGGATCAGGATTTATTTTTTCTTTGTTGTTTAACGCGACATTCAGCAATATTCCAGCAATGTAACAGCGGTCTGTAAATAATCGAGTCTAGACCAGATAATCCAGGATTGACATCATGAGCTTCGAACTACGTAATTTGGATACGATGACATTTATCAAGTCGGCGAGCTTGACCATCCGATCCTGTTAGTCGCCTCTTACGACAAGCATTGTCGCCTTTTACGATAAGAATGGGTTGCTGAAGACCTATTCTAAGATCAGGAACAAATGGGTATTGCAGAGGGAACAGCTGAGAGAA